TTGTGACGTCATCAAAATAAACCCATGTGCTTTTTTACCAAAAAATCTCAAACGCCATGACACCTAGTTGCTGCTGATCTAGCCTTCCCCATGGTTAGCTATGCCTACCCAATGCTTTCTTATGGTTTAGTCCTGATAGGCCAGAGGTATAATATGCCCTCACATTTCCTCCATTCGGTTTAATTATTAAACATAATCCCTAACCCTTACCTACTTAGGAGGTGGCTTTTCACCCGTACCGGTAATCCCTTCCTTTAAAAAGATATTTTAGAAAAATCAATCATCCCAAACCAAGTACCCATAAATATGTTTTCCTCCAATCCAGAGGCAATCAACAGCCCTCTCTATAACGGTCTTGGTATTTTCAGGGAATACATGGTGGACGAGACGGCCTACGCAGACACGCAGGTGACGCTGTCGATCATCGTGCTCGTTATTGTCTTCATCATCTCGCCGATCATCATTTTCCTCGTCCGACACGCCACCTACACGATCCAGGTGAGTACTCCCAGGAGACGCGTGTCCAGGGGTTTTCTAACATTGTTTATGTGTGTACGTGCATGCATGAATAGGCTACGTACGGACACACATACATACGTGCATGCAGGTACCGCGTGCACCTCGTGTGTGTGTGTGTGTGTGTGTGTGTGTGTGTGTGTGTGTGTGTGTGTGTGTGTGTGTGTGTGTGTGTGTGTGTGTGTGTGATGTATATACACATACGTGTGTGCATGTGTTTATATGTATATGTTATATTTGTTACATATAGGTATATATACATGTATTTGCATAAGTAAAACTGAATCTCCCCAAAACAGATTCTACCATTTTTTTTACTTCTTTCCTTGCAAGATCTTCGCCTCGACTCTGACCGTCAAGGGAATTGAGCTGAAGCGAGAGAAACGGAGAAGCGATCGACTAATCCACCAGATGCTGCCCAAAGCCGTGGCGCTGCAGCTCAAGAAGAAGAAAATGGTGTGTGGGAAGTGAATTGGGAATGGTGCTTTGGGAAAGGCGAGATCAGTAGCAACTGGAGGAGTCGTCATGGAGTCTGTTTTGATGATTGTTTAATGAGATTATAACCATTAAAATCATTATTTTCCATTCTTTTTGTAAAATAGAAGAGACCAAAATGATCGACCATATTCACAAAGCATCCGTAACTTTTGTGACGTCATCAAAATAAACCCAATGTGCTTTTTACCAAAAAAATTAATCAAACGCCATGACACCTCCTCAGTTGCTACTGATCTAGTATTCCCCATGGTTTGCTATGCTGGCGGTGAGGTTATGTGGGAAATTGATTAGGAATGATGCTATGCTGGCTATTTAGGGGGTATTATGTTTTTTCTATGGGTTTACATTTTTATATTTATTATTTCCTTTAATTTCATGTTCTTATATATTTTTTATCCTTATTTGTTTCATGTTCGGTTTATCTGTATTCTTTAATGCTTGTTCGGTATATATATATATATATATATATATATATATATATATATATATATTAATATGTGGTGTGTGTGTGTGTGTGTGTGTGTGTGTGTGTGTGTGTGTGTGTGTGTGTATCTTTACCTGTTTATCTATTTTTTTAGAGTTTAATAAGTAAAATTATAGTTACAAAAGTAAAATTGTTACATTATGGCTAAAATCATGACAGGTTCCGGCTGAAAGTTTCAAGGAAGTCTCCGTCTACTTCAGTGACATCGTAGGCTTCACGAATATCTGTTCTGAGTCGGAACCCATTCAGGTAAGTGGCTTTAATAGTATTCAAAGACGATCCGATGTGCTTTTTTAATATCCTGCCCATGGGATTCTATTCTGTTTTGATCTTTTTGCCTTTTAAGATCCATTGTTGGATATAGGCCTATCCTAAACTTTGCCACATGCGTTCTGTCCTTGGGGAAAGCTCGATCAGGAGCAACTCGAGGAGGTATGGCGTCTGATTCTATTTTTGGGGGGGAAAAGCACATGGAAAATAATGCTTTTAATGGATATATTTTCATTGAACATTCATCAAAACAGACGCCATGACACCTCGAGTTGCTACTGATCTAACCTTCCTCTTCCTCTTTCCGGTGCCAATGCTTTTAAAATAACCTTGGGATTGATTTCATGTATTTTGATTTGTACGTGTTTTAAGTCGTGTATGTTTTTTTTTTCTTCTTTTTTTTTTTTTTGATCCATGCGCACGGAGTTCAGTTCGATCATTAGTCTGTAGGTATATTTAGTCGTTATGTTTCTCGGGGTTGTTACACAGGGGTGATGCCATACATTGACATACATTTCAATACAATTGTTCGATTTTAATTGCGTTGGGTTTTTCGTTTTTTTACATGTTGTCAGTTGTATATAATGTGTCTCGGATTGTCATTTCGTTTCTGTGCGTATTTTCGTCATGAACGTTAAAGTTCCCGGGTGTTTTGTGCTTTCTTTGTGTGCGGAGGCGGTATTTGCCTGTGGACCTGTGGCACCTAGTCTAGTGTGAGATACGAAGGTATGT